TGGTAAACTTTATAGCAATGATAAGGACAATTTAAAAAATTATAATTTATCAGTCTCATTTGATGAACAAGAGTCTTTAGATCAAACGTTGCGTAAGTTTTGGGAAATCGAAGAATTGCCAAGCAAACCCTCGATTAATCCTTTGGAACAATTAGCGGAAGACATTTTCGTGGCTCGTTATAGTCGTACTGAGGATGGTACCTATTCAGTGCCGTTACCATTCATACCAGACCCGCCTCCGTTGGGCGCGTCACGAGCGGCAGCCGAGCGGCGACTCTTGTTCACCGAGCGCAAGTTGAATCGTTCACCTGTATTACGACAAGCCTATTCAGAGTTCATGTGCGAATATGAAAATCTAGGGCACATGGAGCTTTATTCGGGGGACACCCCAAGCAAATATGTGATACCTCATCACAGTATACTTAAGCCCAGTAGTTCCACTACTCCTTTGCGTGTGGTATTCGATGCCTCGGCTAAAACGTCCACGAACGTTTCGCTAAATGATATTCTATTGACCGGGCCTAATCTGTATCGAGATATTGGGGCTATAATATTGAATTTTAGGTTGTTTGAATATTGTTTGATTTGTGACGTATGCAAAATGTATCGGGCAATTAAACTGAATCAGTCAGATAGATGTTATCAACATATTTTGTATCGTCATTCGCCTAACGATGCCATTGACGTTTATGAATTAAAAACTGTCACTTACGGCTTAAGTTGCTCACCGTTCTTAGCTATCCGCACCCTCTTACAGTTAGCCTATGACGAGGAAGAACGTTTCCCACTCGCTGCAAAGGTTGTGCGCGAGGGCGTGTACATGGATGACATTCTATATTCTTGTAGTTCATTGTCACAGATATCTCGGTTACAAGATGAACTTTTAGAGATGTTTAATTCCGGTGGCTTTATACTCAAAAGGTGGGCGAGTAATAGTGCAAAAGTTTTACAACGCGTTCCGTTAGAAAACCGAGAGTGTCCTGTTACATTTATGAAAGATGGTAACGAATATTCAGTCAAAGTGCTAGGTCTGAAATGGTTCCCTTTGACTGACTGTTTTTATTTCACAGTAGATAAGACTGATAAAGTAACAACTAAACGTTCTGTTTTAAAATTATTAGCTTCTATTTACGACCCCGTGGGTTTTATTTCACCGTGCATTTTCATCGCGAAAGAGATAATGCAAGATTTATGGAAGCTGGGCATAGGATGGGATGAGCAGCTGCCAACTGACGTAACTAAGCGCTGGCTTAATTACGTTGATGATCTCCCGCGACTAACGGCAATCAAGATAGATAGACATATGCTGCTACCAGAACAGACCGAATGTGAATTGGTCGCCTTTTGCGATGCAAGCTCTCGCGGTTATGCTAGTTGTGTGTATGTGATCAGTCGTAACGATAGAGGTCAAACTAAAGTACGCCTGGTGACAGCAAAATCTAAAGTAGCCCCCGTCAAACCATTAACTATCCCGAGGTTGGAATTAATGGCGTCAGTTTTGTTAAGCAAATTAATTAGATATGTCCGTGACATTTTAACTCGTGTAAAAATTACTCGTATTACTGCGTTAACCGATTCGACTATCGTGTTGACGTGGCTTCAGACAGAAGCTTACAAATTAAAGCCGTTTGTTAGTAACCGTGTTACTCAGGTATGTGAAGTGTTACCTCCACACTGTTGGCGTCACGTGAGTAGTGAGTGCAATATGGCAGACATATGCTCGCGCGGAGCGTCTCCGTCACAGCTCGTGGAGTGCAGTGAGCAGTGGTTGAAGGGCCCATCTTGGTTGTACGACGACTATTCGCAGTGGCCAGTGAGAACATTTATCAACCAACATGAAAGTAATACACCCGAAATGAAATCAAATCATACATTAGGCTCCTTCAATTTAATCACAAATGAAAATAATTCGATAGAGGAGACTAAGTTAGAGTTCTGTGACCGAATCTTTTCCAATTTCTCTTCTTATTATAAACTGCAACGTACGTTTGCTCGAATATTGAGATGGTTCCGACTCAAATCCGGTCACTCGAAGCAATCAATACTGACGACTAACGAATTAAATACTGCCCAAGATGTTTTAATTAAACTAGTACAAAGTGCATACTTCGCAAATGAAATAAATAGATTGTCAAAGGGCACAAAGTACGTTCCGTCGTTGAGAAAATTATCTCCATTTATTGACGAACGCGGATACCTCAGGGTGGGGGGTCGAATAAATTATTCAGCGTTACCTTATAACGCGAAGCATCCTCGTTTAATACCTAAAAATAGTAGATTTACCTTTTTACTTATTGAATATTTACATAAAAAATATTTACACGTAGGTCCACGCACCTTACAAAACATTATTAATCAAAATTTTTGGATTTTAGCATCCCGTCGCATTATTCGGTCAGTTTTGTCCAAATGCAAAATTTGTTTTAAACACAACCCAGTGCTCTTACAGCCTGAGATGGCACCTTTGCCAGCAGCCCGATTGATACCTTGTAATGTTTTTGAGCATGTAGGGGTGGACCTCGGTGGTCCGTTCTTTACAAAAGAAAGTTTACGACGAAATGCTAGGGTTGAACGGTCATATTTAGCATTATTTATTTGTTATTCGACAAAAGCTGTACACCTTGAAGTCTTATCGTCGTTGTCATCGGACTGTTTCCTCGCGTGTTTAGACAGATTTGTAGCGCGACGCGGTGTGTGCTCCTTCCTTTATTCGGATTGCGGAACTAATTTCATAGCTGCTAGTAAGCATTTAACCGAAGTACAAAGATTTATGCTCGAACAAAAAAACAATATATTAGAGGGTTGCTCAAAACGACAAATTATATGGAGATTTAATCCCCCTGGTGCACCACATATGGGTGGGCTCTGGGAAGCTGGAATTAAATCCGCCAAGTATCTATTAACGCGAGCCGTAGGAGAAAAAAGTTTGACGTTCGAGGAACTCACAACAGTGTTTTGTAAAGTAGAAGCGATTCTTAACTCGCGGCCGCTTTGTCCGTTACCAGCTAGTGATAATCCCGATGAGTTCAACGTTTTGACTGCGGGACACTTTCTAATTGGAAAAGGGTTAACAGCAGTACCTGAGTATAATGTAGAGGATATAACAATAAATCGATTATCACGTTGGCAATATATTCAAAAATGTTCACAAATGTTTTGGCGTAGATGGAGTCACGAATATCTAAATACGCTGCAACAGAAAGCAAAGTGGCATTCGGATAGATCTAATATAAAAATAGGTGATCTCGTAATCATAAAAACTGATAATGTACCGCCGTGCAATTGGCCTTTGGGTAGAATTGAGGCTCTTCACCCCGGTCCAGATGGGATTGTTCGTTGTGTTACGCTTCGCACTCAAAAGAGTACTCTACAGAGACCAGTTAATAAACTGAGTCCTCTACCTTATTCAAATTAGTTTTTACGTGTATTAATATTTTTTTTTCTCGTTGAGGACATTCTGTGTCTCAGCGTTATTTTGCATGTTCCGTAGCTTAAGTTATAATATTTTCTCTAATATCTTTTTCATATAGTTAGGAGAAACCATCAAGATGGTTTCGGTGGGGGGTGTGTTCAGTAATAAACCGCAACTCACAAAATTTATACCGAGGCACAATGATCTGCTACGATCGGAGCGCCGGTCACACCTAGTGGCAACATTGCGACGTAATATGCGTTGTAATAATCTGTGGAGTTAAAAAAAAGAGAAGAGGAGGGTAGGAGGCGAGACAAGCCATACACATTCTCTTTGTGTTCGTGATGTGAACATCTCTCCAAAAACTTAAAAAAAGGGACTACTCCAGAGTGTACCGTGTACAATCTAATTGCTAGTGTATTCTACCGTGTAGAAGAAGCTACCAGGAGCTGTCAACGTTTGCTGATCTTGGGAGGCTGGCTAGTAAGACCGTGAGTAGTTTGTTGCTGTTTTTGGTGTGATTTTGTGACTGCGGTAACTGAACGTTTCAGGGGATTTAGATTCTCAATACAGTCCACTATATCTAGTAAAATAATCCCAATCCGCCACACATATTATAATATACGGGAATCATAACAAAAAATCAATTTTTGAAGTTTTTGTGTCTATCTGTCTGTTTGTTCTGGCTAATCTCCAAGATGGCTGGAGCGATTTTGACAGGTCTTTCACAGACAGATTGCTGATGTTATAATGAGTAACTTTGGCTACTTTTACTTTAGAATAAGAATTGGAGTTTCTACGCAAAAAAAAAAATAAACCCATGACATCCAATTGTAATAAATTCCATGCGAAGTCATAGGGAACAACTAGTCACAAATAAAATGGTAGTGTTGTCTGCAATAGCTGGCCAATCTTCACGGAGACTAGACTGCGCAGTACGGGATTACAGTATATGAGTGTGTACACAAACACAATTACACTCTCTATTCCCTCACTCGCACTGTCCAATGGTATAGAAATATGATACGACTGAGAAAGATCAAGCAGCAGAGGTTGCCTATGGTGGGCAACCATGTTAAGGAATTCTCAATGTGTCTAAATGAACAGCATCAACTATAATAGACAAGATAGATATATAATAGAAAAGTAGTGCCGACACTGAATAGAAGAACAAAAAAGTAGTGTTGACTTTAAATATAAAATATAATGTATGATAAATATGAAATGTTTATGCAATGTTAGTTTTTTTAGGTAATGTTAAGTTTATGTAAATTTTCTTTAATGAATGTTTGTGCCAAAAATAAAAATAAATTCTTGTCACCAATATTATAATTTTTTTATTTGAAGCCCTATTTTATACATATAAGTAAATATCCAGTAGCAGGCTGGATTGATGAATACTGGATTCATAGTATCATCGGATATCAGATAATAAAAAAGGCAGGATAAACTGGATACTGGATAGTAACAGGATATCTGTTCCAAGTCTTCTTTCAATTGTGAGAGTGAATTTAGTATGAGTATTTATTTAAATTTTACTTTAACCACCAAAAACTTAGAAATTTCACAGAAACTGCTTACACTCATGTTATTTAGTGTTTGCCAATTTTTGTATAATATTCATTATTTCCTTTCGTTTCAAGTTGGGATTTATTTTTACAAGCATATTACAAGAGCCTATTTCTCCGTGACTGCAAGCCCAATGAGCAAGTCTCTCAGTGTTGCATATGACATGTATCCCACAGTCATAACCATTGCTTTGTTGTTGGCATTCCTTATCAATGAAGTTAATAGTACCTAGAAAGAGTCATGAAATATATTAAAAGTTGATAAATATGATTTGTATATATTAATCACAACAATTAAAGCTAGTTATCTATAAATTTTTACAATGTTTGAAAACTATATCACTCATAAATACCACGAATATATTCCAAAGTACACAGTGGGTTCAGGCATAATTAACTACATATACTTTAACCTCTAGAGTTCAACGTCCCATAGTGGCAAGTAGAATACATCAGTAAACTGTTAAGCATGCAAACATATTCCTACATGCTACTGCTTACATGTCTCTTGCCAGACCGGTCACTAACACACTCATACCTTTTGAATTTAATATTACAAATAATTGGTTTTGTGGACCAAAAACAGTTACAGTTTAATCATTATGGGATAGTATACACATTGACATAATATTTTCTAAATTTCATTGGTTAAGAAATTTCATTCTGGGATATTATCTATCAAACAATAGTTTTAAATCACATTATGCATATTAAAGCCAATTTCAATACTAAAATTTTATCTCTAAAATAATAGTTTCAATGCCATGTTTTATGTTTTAGTTGGTGTTCTATAAACTGTTCACAGAAAAATACAAAAATAATACAATGTTTTTTTAATAAAAATACAAAATCACCTTGCAACCACCTAAGCAACTAAGTCCAATGAGAATTTTGAACAAATATGAAAGTTTTAATTCGTTTAGAAATAGGTTTAAATGTGACAAAGTTAAACTGATAGAGAGCATTAGATTTTTACACATCTACAGAACTGGCCTTCTGGGACATTAAACCGTTGAAGCGGGTAATTGCTTATGCCACTTAATACCATTGAACCATTGCAAGAAAATAAGTTTTTTACTGTAACCACTGAGAGGATAAATAATAACATATTGAATCTTACCATTATTAGCCAAGTATGACATCAAATGACTAGCAAAGTCCCATGCTGCACTATGGTTACTTCCTGATGATGAATCAAGGTGAAAAAAACAACCCTCTGTTTTAGAGTAAACAAGAAGACTCCAGTGCGAGCCTCCAGCCATATCTGGCGAGTTATTGTCATTTAATGCAAAGAAGATAAATTGCTTCATAGTTATATTGAGTGGTTCCAAGAATATGTTTATTTCTTCAGGTTGAACCATTTTTATGCACTGTGTTACTTCAGGTGAAACAAATAATAAGTTGCTTGCTTTATTGAAAATGACTCTTTCTAGGTACTCAAAATAAAAGGAAATAATAGTATCATTGAGCCAATATGGCCCATCCAAAAGTGCAACATCAGATTGATGCAGTAGAGTTTCATGAAAACTCAACACTACTGAAGACTTTGCCATATTTATTCATAAATACTATTCTAAACTTCGGTTTGCAATATCTTCAATTGCGAAATCATCTGCTAACAAAATGGTTAACCCTAAAATAAACAACGATTTCACTACACACAGTTATATCTAAATCAACATTCAATAAGTTATAAAATAAATAGTATTGAAACAAAAATCACTTACCACTTTATGACCCTGCTGTCATATATTATCAATTACTACTCAAAGAGAATAAATATATTCACAAGAATTTACTAATACAGTTGATATTCTCTGACAATATAATCAAGTTTCACTGACACCGATATATTTTGCTATTGCACTGAACTCTTTGATTTTTCCTGACGCAGTCTTTTACTTAGCAAAACAAGAAAATATTCACTAAATTATTACACCAAACCAACATTAAAATAAAACAATATGATATTTTCATATTCCTTTTACCTTTTATAGCAACATTTGATTAGAATTTTGAAATTTTGAGTTGACATTGAGTTTAATAGAATTTTTTTTTTGGAGTTTATGGCCTGGCGTCTAGACCTTTAGGCCAAGTCTTGAGTATTTTTATTCGGTTTATTATAATTTCCCCACTGTATTTTTGATGAATTTATATAGAGGCACGTAATAGGATCTATTTTTTAACATATCACTCAGGCGGCGGGAGGGATCTTGCACTGTCACTTGATTTTGCACTATGTCACTAATTTCACTGACAAGAATCAATCTGTCAAATGAAAAGCACTCACATGCACAGAACACTAATACCCTTAGGCGGGCTCACATGTAAATATGAAATGTTCGATATCACCAACAGAATTATTGCAGAAGGTACAGTAACTGCTCTCCACTATGCCCAATCGAGCCAGGTGGGCCGGGACGGTGGAGTGACCAAAGCGCAGTCTGCAGCAAAGTGCAGTTTATAGTGGTAACAAAGTCCCGACTGGCCATTTTCAGTTTGTTATACCATGGTGCTACAGGTAGTTTTTCTTGAACAGTTCCATACCATTTACCCTTCTGTTGTTGATCTTGTTTCCAAAATTCGACCCATAAGCTATTGACCTGGTTGTCAATAGATTGATAACAGTCGGTCAAAGGTACTTTTACTATCGAGCTAACATCCAACATGTTGGTTCCATCACGTGCAATTTTATCTACTATCTCATTTCCTGTTATGCCCCTATGTGATGGAATCCATATGAAAGAGACCTGACCCTTTTTTGTATAACTAAATAACAATTTTTTAATATTATACAAAATATAGTTTTTTTTTAAAGTCAAATCTGAGATTAGTTAAACTTTGGACCATACTTAAACTGTCTGTTAAAATTAAAAAATTATTAAAACTATTTATATGTGCAATCCTCTTCAGGGCCTCGAGGGCCGCATATACCTCTGCACTGAAAACACTGCATTTAGGGTCCAGAAGAAAACTTTGACCAAACTTGCATTGTGGATCATAAACGGCACTGCGCACAAAGAGCTCACTTTTGCTACCATCTGTATACAAAGTATAGTAGTTATTGTCGGAAATAAAACTTAATAATTCACAATTATTAAAAAAATTTTTGGTAACAATATTGGTCTCAAATATAATACTGGAATATGGGTATGTGTAGCATGTCCACTTTGATTGTTTAATTACATTTTTAAAATCTTCATTCATTTGCTGTACAATGAGAGGCAAAACTGGAAAATAACCTTGTAAAAGCTCACCTCCCGAAGTCTGCTGGACCGAGCATTGTAAAGGAAAAGGTACAATTTTTTTGAGAACATTATCATTACCAGATACCAGCTTTAGTAAATATCTCTCTATTAGCAGAAGTCTTCTAAGACACAGTGGCATTATTTTGGTTTCAACTTCCATAGCTCGTATGGGAGTTGAACACATAGCCCCAGAAATAATTCGCAGAGCTTTGTTTTGAATTATGTCTAGTTTTTTTACACAACTACTATTTGAGTAGGCTAAACAACTGTAGTCGAAATGGCTTCTGACTATAGATTTATATAGCATACTTAAAACTTTGGGGTCTGCACCCCAAGTCACACCAGCTAAACATCTTATAATATTTAAGCCCTTAAGAGAGTTAGTTATAATGTGATTGATGTGTAAATTAAAACAAAGTTTGTTTTCAATGACAACACCCAGGAATTTATGGTTAGATACAACTGAAATTGGATGATTATTGTAGAGTATGCCATTAGAGGGAAAATCTTTACTAAAAATCATGGCCTTGCTTTTGTTAGGGTTAATCTGTAGAGCCAACTTGTCATTATAATATATGTACAATTGCTCTAAAGCATTATTTATACTATTTACAGCTCTATCTACATTATGGTCTGTACAATATATTACAAGATCATCCGCAAATTGTAAAATATTTACACCTTCTATATTTACAAAATTAAGAATTTGACTAGTGTATATGTTGTACAACAATGGAGATAATGTAGCCCCCTGCATTGTACCTTTGGAGACCCTTCTGGGACCATGGAGAATATTATTATGCCTTATATACAAAGTTCTATCCTATTAAAAAATTAAATAACCAATGGCAAAGTATGCCTGGTATACCAATGTCAGAAAGAACTTGAACCAAAATGCCAGGATCTACATTATCAAACGCACCTTCAATATCCAGAAAAATACAAACACTGGACTTATTATTATGAGAGATGAAGCTGTCAGCACAACTTCTGCCTCTCCGGAAGCCATATTGAACATGTGGAATGATGTTGTTCGCCTCTACATAACACTCAAGACGCATCTTTATCATGTTTTCATTAAGCTTTCCAACACAAGATGACAAAGATATAGGACGATATGAATTAGGATCTTCAGGTGGCTTGTCAAGCTTAAGTAGAGGGATTACACACTGTGATTTCCAAGATTCAGGAATTTTTTTTAAGTGCCAAAGAGCATTAAGATTAGCTAATAGTTTCTTTTGTACGGACTGATTTAGGTTTTTGATCAAAATGTATGGACAATTATCTAAACCAGGGGTTGTGTTTCGTCTGGATTGTAAACTTGTACAAAACTCACTCCAAGTAAAGGGTTCTATGAGGAAACTGGACTTCTGAAGACTATTATTAATTTGAAAATAACTTTCTAGATTATCAATAACCCTACATCCATTTCGAGATAATTTGTCTAAAAGAGGGACTACAAATTCGTCTTTATATGTTCTATAATTGCATTTTATTCGTTTAAATAACTTGATGTATTTCCAAATAATACTAACAGGTGTAGTTCTGTTAAAAGTATTACAGATGTTAGCCCAACCATTGCGTTTATGTTCTGAAATAGTCTTTTTCTTAACAGCATTAAGTTTTTTGTAATTAATGTAATTATCAATGGTTGGATCTCTTCTGTACAGTTTTAAAGCTTCATAAGTTTTCACTCTGTTCACATGTGTCACTCCACCAAGGTGCTGGAGGTTTGCAACGATAGTTGTTTGCTTTGACAAACTTTGGCACAGTATCTCTCCTAAGTGTATCAAGCCTTTCAATAAATTCATTCGACGAACAACTTAATTCCTTTTATGTGGCGTATAGAAACACTTGTAATAGAATAATAAAAACACTGAAAATCCAGTATTATAAAAATAAGCTAATTTCAAGCAATTGTAATACTAAAGTCACATGGAAAGTAATTAAAGAGTTTTGTGAACTAAACCAAAATAAGTCCAACTCAAAAGAGCTTCTTAACATTGCTAGCAACCCAAGAGAGGCTCTTAATATTGTAAATAGATTTTTCACGACCATTGGCAGTAGTTTGGCAGAACACACGCTCAACAAGCTCGGCAAATCGGAATCGGAACTAGCAAATGATTCTATATCTTTAGGCCCACTCCAATCAATGTCTCTTATTCCAACGGACATAATTGAAGTAACACATACGATATTAAGCTTGAAATCAAACAGTGCCCCTGGATGCTATAACATTACGGCCACACTGTTGAAAATGTGTACCCATGAACTAGCTCCACTCATCACACACATCTGTAATCTTAGCTTTGAATCATGTAGTTTCCCACAGGTTTTTAAATTGGCAACTATCATTCCCATTTATAAAGCAGGAGATAAACTTAATCCGTCCAACTATAGACCCATATCTCTGTTATCAATATTATCTAAAGTAATAGAGAAAATTGTTAATAAACAAATTATTAAATATTTAGAAAATAACAACCTACTAGCACCAAACCAGTATGGTTTCAGACCGGGTCGGTCAACAAATGATGCTGTGCTAGATTTAACCACACAAATATCGAGATATCTCGATACAGGAGAAAAATGCATTGGGGTTTTTTTAGATCTCCAAAAAGCTTTTGATACCGTCTCAATTCCAATCTTAATCTCACGACTGCAGAATATGGGCATCAGGGACGTACCCCTTCGATGGATCTCCGACTACTTAAAAAATAGAAAACAAAGAGTACGCATTTGCAATCAATTTAGCGACACTGAGAACTGCTCCTATGGCATACCACAAGGAAGCACATTAGCAGCAACTCTATTTTTAATTTATATTAATGAACTGTGCAAACTAGACCTTCCAGGAGCCACTATAATAATGTTTGCTGATGATACTGTGCTGTTGTTTCACGGGAAGGACTGGGATACTGTGCGAAAACTAACTGAAACTGGTTTAACTATAGTAAATAAATGGCTGGAAAACAGTTTACTAACACTGAACATCTCCAAAACGAAATATATTTGCTTCAATAAAACCAAAGCATCGAATCACAAAATAAATTTGAGCCTAGTCATACATTCAAATTCATGTAACAAAACGCATGTTCAATCAAGATCCAACTGTATTCCTATAGAAAGGGTAACGAACATTAAATACCTGGGTGTCACAATAGATGAAAATCTGTCATGGTATCTACACATTTCTAATACGGCCAAAAGAATAAGAAAATTATTATTTATTTTCAGAAACTTAAGAATAATAGCTGATCAACAACTTTTAGTCCAGAATTATAATGCTATATGCCACTGTTTAATAAATTACTGCATATGTTCTTGGGGTGGTGCATGCAAAACACACTTAATGGAAATGGAACGAGCGCAAAGAGCTATCCTAAAGGTGATGCTTTTCTTACCTTACCGCTACCCGACCAGCTTGCTATATAATAAAACAGGTGTTTTGTCTGTTCGGAAAACTTTCGTGTATCAATGCATCAGACGGTATCATCGTTTATCTGTACCACACATAAATGTTAAGAACAAAAGAACTGTAAAGTACCCTGCTCCTAACAGGAAAAGCTCGATAGCAAGAAAGCATTACGAATATCTTGCGCCTCGGCTATATAATAGATTCAACAAAACAAAAGTTATACAGAGGCTAAACAACTTTAAATTAAAAATCGTTTTGCTAGATTGGTTAAAAGAATTTGACTACTATGCTTGTGAAAGACTTCTTAGTGTTAACGTATAAGCTAATAAGAACGTGCACACACTCACACACACTCACACACACACACACACACACACACACACACACACACACACACACACGCGCGCGCGCACGCATACGCAGGCGCACGCACACACGCACACACACACACATACACACACACACACACACACACGCGCGCATACGCAGGCGCACGCACACACGCACACGCACACACACATACACACACACACACACACACACACGCACATACACTCGGTAGAAAAGAAATAACTTAGTT